ATTCTCACTCACTTCAAGTAATAATTGGCTATCAAATGTTTACATCTAGATATCAAATGAATAGATACTTTCAACGAAAAAGGAACCTAGATAGTGTTGATGAGGGGGTATCGAATAATGTGGATGTTGATGAGGGGGTATCGAATAATGTGGAGTTTAATGTCACAAAACTTCCAACTGGTCCTGGTCTAAGGATACCCATTTTGGATTACAATGCTAACATCTGAGATGAAGTTCGAAGAGCATATATGTTAAAGGGTCATTGTCAACCCCAAGATCATGACTTTCCAAAACGACAATTTGGAGTAACAATTAGACGATTCAATCTTTCGTGGTTTAAAGAGTTCGGTAGTTGGTTGGAGTACAGTGTAGGGAAGGATGCTGCTTATTGTTTGTATTGTTATCTTTTCAGAACAAGTTCTGGAAAGCAAGGTGGAGGTGAGTCTTTTGTTGGCGAAGGTTTTACATATTGGAAAGATTAAAAAAAGGCTTCATACTCATGTTGGACTTCATGATAGTGCACATAATCAAGTTCGCATTAAGTGTGAAGTGTTGATGAATCAAGAGCAACACATTCAATCAGTTTTCTACAAATAGTCAGAACAAGCAAGAAATGCATATGTTACACGCCTTAATGCATCCATTGATTGTGTTCGAGTTCTTTTGCGACAAGGGCACTCATTTCGAGGTCATGATGAATCCGAGGATTCTTCCAATTCAGGTAACTTCTTAGTGCAATTGCAATTTTTGGCTGCTCATAATGAAGTTATCAATGCCGTCACATTGGGAAATGCTCCTCACAATTGCAAATTGACATCACCTGATGTTCAAAAGGATATAGTAAATGCTTGTGCTATTGAAACGATCAATGTTATTATCAAAGATGTTGGCGACTCACTATTTTCTATTCTAGTTGATGAATCTTATGTTGTATCAATGAAGGTGGCAAAGAAGAACATCCCTATTACTAACTTCTTTCGTGTGGTTGGGAACGTGATAAATACTGTTGGAGTATCTTCCAAGCGTTGTGATCTTTTTCGAGAAAAATAATTAGACTTTATTGTTGAGGCATTGGAAAAAGGTGAGATTTTAAGTGGACGGGGACTTAATCAAGAAACTACCCTTCAGCGCTCCGATGATACACGATAGAGTTTACATTATAATTCTTTGGTCAGCTTGCTTGCTATGTTCTCTTCTGTTTTAGATGTACTTGCAATGATTGTTGAAGATAAATCTTGTTCTTGTAATCAAAGATCTGATGCAACAAATTTATTGGAGTTGATACAAAGATTTGATTTTGCATTTAATCTACAGTTGATGAGAAGTGTGTTGGGGATGTCAAATGAACTGTCAAAGGCATTGCAAAGAAAAAATCAAAATATTGTGAATGCAATGCAATTGGTGAGATTGTGCAAACGACGACTCCAAATAATGAGAGACAAAGGGTGGGACTCCTTTTTGGAAGAAGTATGTTATTTTTGTCACAACATTAGATTCATGTACCCAACATGGATGATATGTTTGTACGCCTTGCAATTCGTGGTCGCCCTCAGCGTAATTCCCCAGAAATTACAAATTTACATCATTATTGAGTAGATTTTTTCTAGTCTGTCATCGATTTACAACTTCAAGAATTGAATGATCGTTTCTCAGAGGTAAATACAGAGTTACTCCTTTGTGTAGCTTGTTTATGCCCACAAGATTCATTTTCTTCTTTTAACAAGAAAAGCTTGATTAGACTTGCTGAGCTTTATCCATTAGATTTCTCTGCAGTAGATGGCATTGTACTTGGCGATCAACTTGAGACTTATATTTTTGACATACGCTCTAACAAAGAGTTTGAAGGGTTGAATGGCCTTGGTGATC